AATTTGGTTCATATCATTAAGAATTTTTAATAGATTTCCTTAAGAATTGTTTAAAATCCTCTTTGCATGACATCTAAGATTTTTCATCTAGTGTTTCCTCTATTAATATATAGAAGATTATATCATCTCAATTTTTTTTTTTGAAAATTAGTCTCAAATTTATTAGCATCAAGTGTTGAAACAAAAAAAATAATGTGTGGTCCGTGTGGAACAAGAAAATACGGTAAAATAAAGACATATTCACTAAAAAATCATTTGGATGATAAAAATTAACTGGTGTATGTTGAACTAAAAGATGTTGAGTGATACAAGAATTTGTTGTAAGAGCATCAGCATCTGTGAATTAAAAACACACTCTTTCTTTCTTTTACTCCACTTTATACTTTCTCTTTCATCCTTTTACTCAACTTTTATTAATTTTATATTCTTTTTAAATATAAAATTATTAAAAACATTTGATACACTCTCTNTTTCTCTCTTCNAAANTATNAAAANNATCAACTATTTGATACCCTCTCTCCAAAAATATCAACTATCTCTTCTCTTTACTCAAATTTTATTAATTTTATATTTTAATACACCCCACTATTTCAACCAAAAACACTCTCTTTCTTCCTTTAACTCAAATTTTAATAATTTTATAATTAATGATACCCACATTATATCACCATTACTCATGCTCTAAGATTGTCTAACTAATTTCTAATAAATGATTTGAAAACGTAGGTACATGGCCAAACCTCGTAAAAAAAATTGTGTGTTTATATTGGACGAATGTCTCATATATTACAATTTGGGTGTACTCCTTTCTGTCATATCCCCTTATTGTCTACAAGACTCATTTTGTTTAATGATGTAAGGAAAACCAATATTACCCTTACATGACCCATTTTTTTAATTAAAAATAATTTAAAAATTGAATAAAAATTCTACAAAACTCTTTCTTGTTTCTTCCCTCCCATCGGATCCCAATCCAGCTCCGTCAAAGACAAACCTCCATTGTTGCTTGCCAAATAACAATTGAAGCATTCCGTCGATCTGCAAGAACCGCATATGCGATTCCTCCGTGATAGAGCTCGTTATTGACGTCGCGACTAAGCACGTTATTGAAGCTTCAAACTTGAAAATCGAGGTAAGTATTTTTTCGTTGAGAATTCACGAGGATTCGAGCTTGCCATCCGTTATGTTGATCCAATTAAATGTAGATTTCATCGCGGATTCGAGGATTTCAATCTAATTTGATTTGTAGATTGGGGGATTTCAATAAACTGGATTTGAAAATTTGGTATGCACATTAGGTGTGAATTGATTCTGGAATTTTTTTGTTGAATCGTAGGCAGATTAGGATTATGCATAGGTTAAGCTTAGTCACCGTATCCGAATCAGGATCTCCAGATTATGCAGATACATAGGATAACTAGTACAACTAGTGTTATTGAGATACATGGTATAATATGGATCTCCAGATTATGC